TTGCTGTGAGCTAGGTTGACACCACGGCACTCTAGCCCGGGCAACAGAACCACATTCTGTCTCAAAAACAAAACAAAACAAAAGCTACTGTTTCCAGTTGCATTTTATTCTGAGCACTTTGACTCCCTTGTGTCCAGTTAATCCTGGGAATTTCTTTTCAGCATTAAAAATGGAAGGAGGCAGGAAATTATTATAAACTCATGCTTAACAGGATGGGTCTCAGTGACTAAGTGTATGTAATTATATATTGCTGCTGTAGAAGAAATAAATAGCAAAATGATGGCATCTTTTTAATACCTACTGTTGTGCCTATGAATATTAAGATCTTAGATTTTTATAGCAATATATTGGTTGACATTAATGTCGTTTGTAACTGTAAAAGCCTAAAAAGACAACTGTTCCTGCTATGTAATTATAGACAGAAATAAAAACTTCAGATCAACCACTCTCAAACTATAGTATAGTTTTTGACAGAAACATATTGTGTTATTTCAATGCACTTTGACAAATAAAATCTCATTTTGTCATCACAAAATCTTTAAGATGTAGGCAGGCTAACTCTTGCTATCCCTATTTTAGAGTGAGAAAACAGATGTACAAATGTGTGAGGGTCAGAACACAAAAGGAGCAACAGGGACTAAGCGTCTCATGGTGGGTAACTGTTGTTTGTAACGGACAGGAGGCTAAGAGCCGTGTCATGGGAATCAAAGTCCAAAGAAGAGGCACAAGGAACCCAGAGTATTCACAGGGGACTATATCAGTGCCTGATGTAAGAAAGCTTGTTTAACAACTGTGTGTGTGCATGTGCGTGCGTGTGTATTCATTATATATAACATATACATACATACACACACATATAGGTATATGTATGTTGGTTGAAATATCAACGAAGATATCTGAACTATATTTGTTGATATCAATGGAGAGGAATAAAAGTCACAAAGCAACAGAGAGACTAGGGATGGAGTGAGCTAGGTGGTGTACAAAATACCTAGAAAGATAAAGCCAAAAAGGATAAACTTAGAAATAAAGGCGAACAGAGATTAAGAGCATGATGATGAAAAGAGAAAAGGCAACACAGAAGACAAGAAAATTCAGGGAGAGAGAAGCTCACAGAGTCAGAGAGATAGAAATAGAAATGTATAGAGGCAGAACAATGGGCAGAAATGAGAAGTAAGGGGGAAAATGAGGAGTGACCAGACAGGAAAAGAGAGCAAATCTCTGTTGGATGTGAGGTGTAGTCATGGAGTGAGTGTATTTCTTTCTCTACTCATCTGAGCTCTGAAAATGGTTCAGCAGAACCACATTGAGATGTGCTTCCTGGTTCTCTGGCCACTATCTACAGTTTATCATTTCCTTGTTTGTCTTCAATGTCCTGTGAATCCAAAGCTCTTCAAATGAATACAGAAAGAGTCAGAAGAGATGCAGCCCATTAGCTTGTGATGGAGAAGACAATCATGATTATTAATTATCAATTATCTTTGTTTTCCTGTGTGCACAGAGGAAAAGCTCTTTATTCTTTTCCTTACCTTTCTCCCAAAACATTTGCAGACACAAATACACACATAGGCACCACACACACAGACTTGTGCACAGGCTCTGACTGCTTTCAGCAGGTTTGAGGCAGGCAAAAGAGAAAGAAGAGTTGGGCTTCTGAATGAAAGGAGGAGACACTGAGTGGATAACATAAGGAGAAAGAATGGGAAAAAGTAGGCTGGGGTCACTAAATGAAAAGATGTCAGAGAAAGCTTCAAGTTTTTCTATGTGGACATAGGATCTAAATATACCGGTAGTTAAGGAGATTTGTGGCATAAGAGGGATGATTTTCAAGATA